TTAGGCATAGAGGACAGGAAGTGGTGGCCACTTTAATCCCAACTTTAATCCCAACACTCAGGAGACTGAGGCAGATGGAGTTCAAGGCCACCCTGGGCTACATGAGAGCAAATCAGTCTGAACAAGAAACACAGCTCACACCTTTGATCCCAGTACTTGGGATAACACACCTTTAATCCCAGCACTAGGGAGGTGGAGACAGTAGTGATGTAGCTGGGTGGAGAAAGGCATAAAAGGTGGAAGGAGACAGGAACTCCTTGGAGTCTGAGGCTTGGTGAAGACAGATGCAGTTGGATTCAATCTGAGGATTTGTGGAGACAGGATTGCCCTATCAGTCTGAGGTAGAGGTAAGAGCTAGTGGCTGGATGCTTTGCTTTTCTAGTCTCCACTTTATCCCCAATATCTGTCCCTGAGTTTTTACTAGTAAAACAAACTAGAATTTGTGATACAGATATTCCACAACTAACATGATTCCACCTCATTACACACTGCACTTGCTACATAAATACTCCCTCTCTCTCCTGTCTCCTCTTTCATCCTCTCCCCACCTTTCACTCCAAATGGCCTCAAGCTTGCTACATAGTCCAAGATGACCTTGAACATCTGGTCCTCCTGCCTCTACTTCCCAAGTGCTGTAATCACAGAAGTGTGCCACCATATCCAGTTTATGTGCTAAGGATCAAAGCCAGAGCATCACAAAAGCTAGGAAAGTACTCTACCAACTAACTTACATCCCCAGCCAGCTAGGCGGATCTCTGTGAGTTTGAGGCCAGCCTGGTCTCCAGAGGGAGTGCCAGGATAGGTTCCAAAGCTACACAGAGAAACCCTGTCTCGGGAGGTGGGGGGGGATGGGATTCAAATTCATGGTCTCTTTTTTTCATTAATTGTTACATATACAAATATGTACAAATACATATATATTCCTAAATAAAATCTGCTCAGTTTGTATAATGTTATTTAATTTATATATCTTTCTTCAGAGATAACCATTTGGCATTGGGATAGCCTATTGGTATGCTCTTCCCTAGGGAAGAAATTTTCTACCACTCTCAGCATTCCTTAATTGTCTGTAGTTCTTTGCATAGGGCTAAGGCATTGTGGTCTTTCTTCCCTCAACCACTAATACATCTATATAACCTAATTTATACAATCTTAATATATATAATATTTACACAACCTTAACTTAATATATTTATCTATGGTGATTTCCCAATTTTTGATTATATTCAACAAATAAAGCACACCTATTATACATAAAACCGGTTTATACAAAATCTTTTTTTTTTTTTTTTTTAGACAGGGTTTCTCTGTATAGCCTTGGCAATCCTGGAACTCACCTGTAGACCAGGCTGGCCTGGTCTCTACTCAGAGATCCACCTGCCTCTGCCTACAGAGTGCTGAGATTAAAGGCATGAGCCATCACTGCCCAGCACTCTTTTTTTGTTTGTTTACAAAAATATTTGTAAATCAACATTTGACAAGAAGAGACTTGCTTTTAAACCAAGATAGAAATTTGTAATTGCAAGTAAAAGGAAACTGAATTCATATTTCTTACAAATCCAAAAGAAAAATGTTTATTATTAACTAGTAAATGAGCAAATGATTCTCATTTGTTAAGTTTATAAGGCAGCATCTCTTGCAAATGTAGCCATTCGTTTGTAGCTGGTTTGATTAGACACAAACATCTAGAAGGTGAATTCTAAACATAATCACAGAACAGTGCAAATCATTCCCTGACCATTCCAATTCATTGCTTTGTAACAACTTCATGAAGGAACTATCACCAATTATATAGAAGACTGAAGTACAGTAAATTTAAATAACCTGTCTAGAATAACACTGATAGTAAGAAGGAAAAAAATCTAAAACAAATCATTACACAGCAGTAAACAAGAATAATCCAATTTCCTGGCCTTTATACTTGGTATAATCTCAAACAGAGAAAACATTCTTGCACTAAAGGATAAAAAGAGGTATAAAAACTTATTGCCTACATTTCTTGTACATCTGCCCTATGCAATATTTAACCTTATTCATCTCTAGTGCTTTAAAGTTGACAAAATTTTAAAACTGTGTCTTTCATATCATAGTACTTCTTTCATTTTTGTATGTTTGTTCTGCACTAATAGACAAAGCATCAAGAGTGCACAGACAAGATAGAGGACATGTGGGCATCATACACAAAAGCAGTGTTCCCCACCCTCTAAGGTCTCAAGCCGAAGAACATTACACAAGTCTATCATTTCCTCAAACATCACCACTAAGTATAATGTCTGCTCCAGTATCTTTCTTACAAAACACTAGTTGCTAACTGGGTTTCTGTGAGTAACAACAAGAAACTTAACTACCTCTATACTGTGAGGCTACTTTTCAGATCTGGTAAGACCCAAAGAGGTCACATATAATAGAAACTCAGCTAAAGTGACCTTTCCTACTTCTGGAGAAGATGTCTAACAGAGGTAAGCTGGGTATATAGGAAATGTGCCTAGGTTAAACAGGAAGCTGGCTGACATTAACTATACATTAAAAATAAGCTAATAAGCCGGGTGGCCAACGCCTTTAATCCCAGCACTCGGGAGGCAGAGGTAGGTGGATCTCTGTGAGTTCGAGACCAGCCTGGTCTGCAAGAGCTAGTTCCAGGACAGCCTCCAAAGCCACAAAGAAACCCTGTCTCAGGGAAGAAAAAAAAAAAAAAAAAAATCCCAGCACTCGGAGGCAGAGGCAGACGGATCTCTATGAGTTCAAGGCCAGCCTGATCTCCAGAGCAAGTGCCAGGAGAGGCTCCAAAGCTACAGAGAAACCCTGTCTCGAAAAACAAAAAGAAAAACACAGAAAACCAAAAACAAACCAAAAAAGCTAATAAATACATTTAGAGTAGAAGATGGCTTTCCTACCTGACCTATAGATCAAACAGCAAAAAATGGCAGGATTTCCTTTGAATCCCAGCACTGGAGGCAAATAATTTTAGAATCATCAATTTGATAAGTGCTTAGATACATTACTTACTGTATGGTCTCCTAAAACCCCATCTACTATTCAAGTAGAAAAACCCAGAGATCTTGAAATCGAAGTAAATATAAACTACAAAGGAACCATTTAATGCATTCCTAGACAATAATTTGAGACTCTGAAGGAAATTTTTCATATTTTTAAATACTATATTATAAATTCCTACCATATGAAACTGTTATTTCAAATATATAAGCAGAAAAAAACACCTCCACACTCAAAATATTTTTCAGAGAATCAGAAACTCTTTTCAGAATGGAGAGAAAAGATTGAATATCTACAAGTTTAAAACTGCCAAGATACAATAATGTATCCATGGGTTGGAGAGATGGTTCAGCAGTTAAGGGCACTGACTGCTTTTCCAGAGAATCTGAGTTCAAATCCCAGCACTCACATGCAGCTCACAACTCCAAGATCTGATATAAACACACAGACATACCTGCAGGCTAAGCATCAATACATATAATACAAAAGTAAATAAACTTAAAAAAAAGAAAAGAAAAGAAAAACAGTGTATTCAGGAATCAACAGTAAAATCTAAATCCTGAGACAATTGACAAGGCACTTCAGGTCATGACACAGCTTTCCTGGGCACTGATTCCCTGTATGTTACTAGAGTCACTCAGCACCTGTCTGTTTCCCTCCAAATAACCATCACAGTCCATCCCAACATATTTAAAATAAACTAGAGTGTGGCCAAATAAGACAGTAAAACCTTTTCTTTTCAGAAGTGCTTTGGCAATAATAGAACATTTTCAGAGCAAAAGCAAGCAGCCCATTCCAAGACTACAAGTTCCAACTGCATGCTGTTTTCTTTCTATTATTAAAGACACTTTGCTTCAAGGGTTAAATGTCCATAAACTTTATGTATACAACTATCTTTTCTTGGTTTACTATGAGAGAAATAAGAAAAGCTCATTATTCACTTTCATGCATTTAAACATTTCATGGTTTAAATGTGAAATGTGCCTGACTGATTCATGGGTTTGAACACTGTGGTCTAATCTGATCACAGTTTCTAGAAATTAGAACCTCTAGGAGGTTGGGCCTCACTACAAGAAGTGGGAAAAGGAAGGCAAGACTTATGAGTCCTATATTCCAGCCCCACCCTGCCCGACGTCCATTTCCTGATCAGCTAAGATGTGAGCAAGCTGCCCCAAACTGACAGGAGCTACTCCTGCAGCATTAACAACAACAAGCTTCCCCACCACCACCACCACCACCACCAACAACAACAACAACAACAACAACTTTAAACTATGAGCCAAAATAAATCTTTCCCACCTAGAGTTGCTTCTGTCAGGCATTTTGTCCTGGTAACAATAAACAACAACAAAAAAACCTAATAACACACAGCCTTTTAGGTAAGCATCTCACTTCATAACCTACCAGTGTACTAGTGCCTGGGAACATGGAACACGATGTTTAAGTTGATTACAATTCTTTAACTGTCTGTTTCTTATCCCATTTCAAAACTTTATGGAATTTTTGCTTGGCTTTTTTGTTGTTGCTGGGAAAGGCCCTAATCTTTATACCCTTTGGCATGTAGAATACAAGGTTGTTCTTGTTTTCTACTGTTGTCCAAGAAATACTGTGTTTTATATCTGTTTTGACATGGCATCCAAAGATGGACTCAGCTTGAGGAAGAAGCTGAAAGCTGGAACTTTGAAAGTCACTGTCGTCTCCTGAAGCAAGCAGCAATGTGGGTAGAAAGAATACCTGATGGGTACTCTAAGCTCCTTCAGCATCACAGGGGATCACTGTAGGCAGCACAGGTCTCAATGACACCAAGAATATTTCTAAGTTTAGGAAATACAATAAACCTCAAAAGCAGGGCAATCGATAAAAAGAACTAAATCCACTATGAATGCTATGGGTATTCTAGCATACTTCTACAAAAATAAGTTAATCTTTGTTATGACAAGTTCATGTATGAAAGAACTCATTTATTCAGCCCAATTAAAAGTTCTATCCAAGACAAGAAAACTTACTCTAGATGAATCATAGGAAGGGCTTGGTTGACCACTAGTTCCCCAAGATGTTGTTCCTCCACGTTCATCCATACCTAAGGAAAGAAGAAAGTGGATAATATAAACTCTGAAAATAAATAGTGCATAAGAGTGAAGTACACATGGCGGTGTGAGCATCGTTGTGGAACTAGCTTTACCTCACTCCCTGCCTCAGTAACATATAGTAAATTAGTTTCTTCATTTATTCTCATGACCATTCCCCTATACATTACGAAATTTGAGAACTAAAATATTTCCTTGGAAACTTTCAAATGCCTAAGTGTCATAAGTGTCTCCATTTTTCTATCCATTCCTCTCAAGCTTTCTCTTTATGAAAATATAAAGAATTCATCAGTGTCTCAACCATAAAAACAAAGCCAGCAAAGCAACTATTCAGTTTAATAAACTTGACCCCATCAGACTAAAGATTTAATATTCTTAACTGAGGATAGAAAAATCTCACATTAGTGATGTGAGAATACACTGCAGTAAGTCTGTGGGCAGCACTTCAAGCTCTACTTTGTGACTGCAAATTGAAGATATGTTCTTACAAGGGAATGAATGACCAGTCACCATCATGCTCTTCCCATGCCTGACTCTACACTTTCAACTACCTTCCCACCAGTCCCAGGAAAAACTGGAATCTTCTCAATGGGTCATTTCTGTGTTTCTGACTTAATCCAGCTATTTCTATATTTTAAAGTCTAGTATTTTCATCTTTGATTCATAAAACAGTATTGCTCCCCAGCCCTGAGGAGCTGTTTTTTTATGATAAAAGTCAATGTTGACAATGTATCATTTGTACATGAGAAAAACCTAGATGTTAGAAACTAAGCTTAAGAACTCTTTGAGAGTATTCCTAGAAGTCCTCTGTAATGCAGGAGAAAATGCTATATTCAGTAATACAATACAACCAACTTTGTGGCAATTTGTGAGTGTCCAAGGCTTTATAGGAACCAGCTGAAGGTATTGGAAACTGAACAAACAAAAGACAGGCAATAGGTCCCAAGGTAGAATATCTTCCTCACTAATTCAGTTATTAAGTATGTTAAGTCTTCTTAAGAAAAAAATTGCTGGGCATAGTGGCACAGGCCTTTAATCACAGCACTCTAGAGGGCAGAGGTGGATGAGGGGGGAGATTAACATGAAGAGGATACTAAGAATAGTAATTTTTATCCACAGTTTCAATTACCCCTGCAGGAAAATATTTAATAGAATATTCTACAATATTGCTCTAACTATGGCATGTTATTATAATTGTTCTATTTATAGACTGGTTATGTTAATCTCTCTGCCTAATTTTAGAAATTTAAGTTTATCTCTAGCATGTATGGTGTAGGAAAAAGTGTATGTATAGATATATGGGGGAGACTGGGTAAATCTTTAATTTAGGTATCAGCTGGGAGTTTGGAATGTAACCCCACCGGTAAAGAGAAACTACTGTATAGATAAAATTTTAAGCACAATTTACAGTGAACCAGCTTTCAAAACAAAAATGTCTTATTTGTTCTTAGAAAAATCCCAATTTAGTAGAGTCTCTACACATGCAATGCATCATGGAAAGGAGTTGGCACCTCTCCAGCATCAGAGCCACCTGAGAGCTACATTCTAAGCATTTTCTTTATAATCAGTACTATAAAATAGCACCCACGATTTCTAAAAGAATCAACCCATAGACTACATATGTTATATACATAATTTGTATATAAAAGGCATTATCATTAATTGCATATTGGAAATTTGATCTGATGATGAAAATGAAACCAAAACTTACCTTAATATTTTATAGCAAACAATAAATATGAGATTTCTATGTTATTTTAAATATGTTTCTTAAAAAAGAAAAAAACCTGAAAGGACAGTGCTAGCTATAGAAACCATCTCAGGCAGTAGAAACTACATGCTCAATTTATCAAAAGACTCTTAGCTCCTTCCACAAGACAGAAGAGCAAATATTAATTTATTAATAAAATGGTAATTAGGTAGATTAGCGAGCAGTGAAACACTAATAACACTGCTACTGGACAAGAAAAGAAGCTCAAAGGATATCTCAGAGTAATAGGGATCTGGCTACGTTTTTAGCTCAGAACTCTGTGGTTTTATTGTCAGCATCGACAGACAGACTAAAAGGTTGTGGCTGGCACTAACAAAAGTAATCATTTTGTATCAATGATAACTTTCTGCTCGAGACAATGTCTATACAAACACAAAAATATGACAGCAATAATAGGACTTCCAAAGCTTCAACCACAACAACAAAATGACATCTGAAGATAAACTTTATGAGAATATTATACAAACTGATAAAAATATGGAAAATAAACAAATGTACAAGAATTACCATAGAATGGGAAGGGAAAGCACTTCTTTTGAAATACCTGAAAAAGAATCATCCCCATATATTTCTTTTCCTTTCCATTTTTAGTACCTATATAGCAAATCAACAACTTTAGAGTAATTCTGTGATCCACAGATCTAAATGACAGTTATGAGAATGCTACACAATGATTAAAAGATTGAAGTACTTTGTTTGATTTTCAAAAATGTAACTGTTTCTTCTCAGCAGAATTAAAATGGGTAAACAATATGTAAGCTCATATTAACACTGAAGCATTCCTTTCATTTTTTAACCTTTCATTCATATATATATATTCATTCATTCATGTATATATATATACATGCCAGCTTGGCCTATATACAGAGTTCCAGGTGAGCCAGTGCTACACACACACACACACACACATAGATACACACACACATATACACAAATATGTCCTAGAACCTGATTTTCTGAATGGAATTAATTACATAAAATATATTGTAACTTTAACTTTGTTTCATGTGCCCCATTTTTAAAAGCATAATTGGTTTTTATTTTCTTGCTGTGTAACTCAAAACTCACTATGAAATTCCTAGCTCAGCCTCCTAAGTGGTGGGATTACAGATATGTGCCACCATGTGCACCTACCCTGTTATTTTTTAGTTTGTTATCTACTAAGTTGTGATATTTTGTTTCTGATATAACAAAAAAAGAATTTGCCACAGTAGCTAGCCATAGAGGCCAGGCAGTGGTGGCACACACCTTTAATCCCAACACTCAGGAGACAAAGGCTACCCTGAAATACACAAAAGCGATCCAACCAAAAAGACAAACAGAGCTCACACAAAGATAATCTCAGCACTTGGGATCCCAGCACTAAAGTGGAATATAAGGCAGGAGGAAGGAGACAGGAGTTGAAGGCATTCTGAGGTTTGATGGAGAGCAGTGCAGTTTGAGGTTCCATGATCTTAGGTTCCATGGTCTTAGCACTGGTAGAGGTGAGAACTCTCTACTGGCTGGCCACTTGGATTCTCTGATCTTCAGCTTTAACCCCCAATATCTGTCTCTGGTTTTTTATTATTCATGCTACAACAAGTGTATTATTATTTTGCCATTGCTACGATAAAAATGTACTGCTACTTTTCTATTGCTGTGATAAAACACTATGACCAATGAAACTTATAGAAAGAATGGTTTATTTGAGCTTATGGTTCCAGAGAGATAAGAGTCTATAATGGTGGAGCAGCAGGTATAAAGTCTGGAATTGCAAGCTGAGCTCACATCTTGAACACTAAGCAGGAAACTGAGAGAGCAAACAGGAATCTTTACACTCTCAAAGCCCACCCCCATGGTGACATACTTCCTCCAACAAGGCCACACCTAAGCAAACAGCACCACAGCCAGGAACCAAGCAAGTGTTCAAATGATCCAGATTGTGGGGAACACTTCATTAAGACCACCACAGTGAAGAAGAAACATTAAACTTGAGGCCTTGTTTTTAAAAGTGATGGGGTGAACTGAATGAAAGAAGTTGCCCCCCACCTTGTAAAAACATTCAATAAGAAGAGTCACAGGTGGTGTGGTGGCACATGCCTTTACTCCCAGCACCTGGGAGGCAGAGGCATCATCTTGAGTTTGAGGCCAGCTTGGTCTATATACAGAGTTCCAGGTGAGCCAGTGCTACATAGCAAGATGGGAGGAAGGGAGGATGTGAGGGAGGATGGCAGGGAGGGAGGCAAGACGGCAGGCACTAAAAACACATCTGAAATTCTTCTAAGGTTGGGACCTTCAAGAAGGAATAAACCAAATTTGGAGGAAATCAAATGTATAAGCCTCTGGAAGATTGGGGATACTTTGGTCAAGTCTAATGTCTGGGAGGCATTGCTCCCTTTTCCACGAAAAATTCAAATACAGTCTACTGACTTTTCACCTCATCATGATGATGTGAGTGACAGTTAGCCACGGGGAACAGAGAATTTTAATTTTAAGTCTAACCAAATAAAATGAACATAAAGAAAACCAAAATTTCCACAAGAAGCATCACAATAAAGCAAAGTTCTATATAGTGAAGTGCAACTTACTATCCAAGTCAAGAGGACCACTATGTCTGGATTCTCGGAGGCTAAAGGTGCTGTAAATGCGCTCAATTAGGAAAGAACATCCAGTAGACTGGAGATGGCATAAAAAAAAAAGTTTTTTTTCTAAAAAGACAAATAGAATGTTTAAAATAAAACTTCTTGGATGGGCTTAAGAAAGAATAAAGATGATGGGGAAAGGGGTAAGTGAACATTAAAACATATGTAAGAATCATTCAAATCATTTTTAAAAAAAAAGGAAAGAAATTAAAAGAAAATTAACAAGGCCTCAGAGACCCAATGGAAGAGATGAAAAAGTATAGCCTGGGTATAATGAGAGCACAAAGAGAACAAGATAGGAAATATATCTGAAGAAACAATAACCAAAAGAGAACATACAGGTGTGTAAAGGTTAAATCTGCCAAATAAAGATTATGGTGAATGCCAACAGTAAAATGCAAACAAAGTCCTATCCACCCACATCAAAATCAAGCTGACAGCCAAAATTTTAAATTTGAAAAACAGCCAGAGAGAGAGAGAGACACATATTACCTAGAAAGGAAAAATTCAAATCACTACATGCTTGCCTTTAAAACTGGATAATGGCAGATATGGACAAACAGTACCTACTTTTATCCAAAACTCTACACCTGACCAAAAT